CACACACACACACACACACACACACACACACACACACACACACACACGGGTTCATTGTTAGAAAATGTTCTATTATTGATTTAAATGTGAAACTACAACTACGCAAAACTTCCGGGGAAGTGTGCATATCATTTTAAGTTGCTCATTTATAGTATTGTGCCACACAGTAATGGAAAGCAGAATAAAACGGAGTAAAGGAAAGCAGATAAGAAAGAAAATGAGACAAGCAGAGTGGAAGAGCAGAGCAGTGTAGCTTAGTCACCTTTCAGGATGTTGGCCACAGTGTCCTTGGCCTCTCTTGGCAGAACAGAACTGAGGTTGTAAATAAACTCTGGAGGACGAAGGTCGACAACCAGCTCCCTCAGACGATCACTGCACACATATAAAATGTTTGAGGCTATTGTTTTAACTGTCACCTAGTTAATGGCCTACTAGCAATATTTAGATTTTGCCATTCCATACATTCTATAAAATCAAAACTTTGCATTATTGCATTTTACTGCAGCTACCTGTCCTGACAGTTTTCCATCAGCCTGGAGAGATTGGTGAGGTGAGTGCTGAGGCCCACCACACCTTCATCACCGTCCAATCGAAACAACACACCACTGAACTTGGACAGGTCTCTATAAAACACACAACGTGTAAATCGGATTAGTGACTTCAACTGAGCAGCTGGTGAAAGAGGAATCCAAACAATTCACTCTCCTGTAGTTTTCTTTTGTCTTAAATACTTCAGATGGCAGTTATATGTGGGTTCGTTCTCACCTGTCCAGAGTGCAGCTGATGGATGTCCTGCTGACCTCACACAGGTATCCTGTTGCCAAACCAACCAGTCGACCTTTCTGGTCGCTGACAACTATGCGATCCCCGCTGGCCAAACTGCTGCTGGCCAAACCGCTGCTGGCCAAACCCTCCTGAGGCACCATGCTGCTGCGCTGGAAACGATGGAGGAAAACCCCTTCAGACTGCACGGTCACTGGACCACTGAGCTGCACATTCCCGACACAGCTCCCATTCTTCTCACTAGAAACACAGGTCAGATGAAACAAATACTCTGTATTAACCGTTACATACAGTATGAAGGGGCTAGTTCTCTACACACGTTTTTATATATTGGACTGGGAGTGTTTACATGTCTAAAATTTGAGAGACCAGAGTTTTACCTCTCTTCAGCCGTCTGAAGCCACACGCGCTTTCGGCCATTCTTGGCCTCCATGCTGGCAGCCTCAAGGCAGCAGAGCAGCAGCCAATGAGAGAAATAGCTTAGATGTGGTGGGATCAGGTGACCCGTCTCCTGCTGTAGGAAGTCATGCACAACATCCCCGCAGACGTCTGCAGAGCTGCCATCGACCACCCTGGAGGAAGGGCGAGGACAAGTTTTGAGAAAAAAAAGAGGACAAGTTTAACTGACTGATAAGTTTAATAAAAATCATAATGCTTAACATTCCCACAGCTGCAACATGAGTTCAAAAAAAGTTACCTTTCATATAAAGCACAGTTTCTCTTCTGAGGACAATACTGACAGGTTTGTCTGTCTGTCAGGATGTCAGGAGGTTTAGACAAACGGATCCGCTTCACCTCTTTCTCCACACAGTTGTGGATGTGATGAACCAGGGTGTTCCTCAGCTTCAGCAGCTCTGAAATAAATGTAGAGTTCAGCAATAAAGGCGACGGCAGAGATGCTGCAGTGAAAGAATGTAAGAAGACTTCTTTGGTTTCACTGCAGCATTGTGTTGTGGTTGAAACATACACAATTTAGTTGAAAGGACACTGTAAATGTGTAAATAATTAATAATACATGTATACAAGATTATATAGGCCAATAACAACACTTACTGTATCGACTTATCATATAATATATGGACATAACAGAATAAACAGCAGTTTTCACTAATATCTACTTGCACATTTTTGTTAACAGTTGATATTTATTGTTTTAGTTTTATTTATTTAGGATATCTTTCTTTTTTTTTTTTTACATTCCAATTCCTGAATATCGTTAATAATTAAAAGTTCATTGCTCATTTAAAGGGTGTACTTGCATTATTATGCTATTTTAATATTATATCAGCAGCCTAAAATGGTCTTAAGAAAAGAGTTAATCGCAGTTATTTCTGGGACAATATATCGCCTGATATGCTTAAAACTCTACAATTATTAATGATATAAAATACTATTTTTATATGGTTGTTTAAAACTGGTGTTGGGCAAGTTGTTAAAGCTCATGTGGGAGCACTGTACCTCTGCGGTCCATGTGGCTGGCCACTACAGGGTGCAGGCTGCCAGTCTTGAGGTAAAGCAGGAAGCCAGCTTCAGAATTGTATCTCTCCAAGCTCATCAGAGTGTAAAGAATCACCTACACACAGACACACACTTATATGGACATCTTGAAAGTCGACTTGTTTAAATTTGCGTGCATCAGTGTAAACCTGCCTTTTCACAGTCTACATATGCACATCTACCTAGTTGAGCCCGTGTGGTCCACCAACCTGACTGCGATGTTCTATCGAGTTTGACTCCTTTCCAGTTTTCAGCTCCAGGGGAACAGTCCTCTCCTCCGACGTTCTGTGACTACCGCTTCGTGGTTTTTGAATTCGAACCCGCGCCGTTACATCGATTTTCCCTTTCAGACCAAATCTCGGCGACCACACATTTTCTTCTATGTCTGCCAGCTCTGCTATTGTGACAACAGTTGCAGAGTCCTGACATCTGCTGTTGCTGAGTTCATCGAGACAGAGATTGACATATAAACAGCTAATAAAGTTTTGTTCACAAATCTTTAGCGCTGTGTGTGTGTGTGTGTGTACATACATTTTTAGGCTGATGGCTTTTGGTGTTGGGGAGCTCAGGTATTCCTTTGCCCAATGTTCCAGTGAGGGAAGATAATCATGCAGCTCCTGCTTCATCTCTTCCTGACTTACACCCAAACTGTACCTAGAGACCAACGGACAAAACACAAACATAATAAGACAAAGAATATGCACACAAACATGAAGTGGATACATCACATGAAAACTGTGTAGCACTTCTCCGTTGTTTCTATATTTCATAATTCAAGTGCTCTGTTATGAACAACTGTGAACCGTATCATTACACACATTAAAGGTTTGTGGCACCGTGTAAAGACTAGGTTGGGACCCGCAGGTGGGTCGCTGGAGATTTTATTAGCCAAATAAATGTCTTCCATAGTCTTCCTTTTTAACATTAACATGTGCAGGACACCTTTGAGCCACATGGCGGAGCCTGAATGTTGCTATTGTTCTGATAATTGCAGCCTACTCATAACTAGCACAGTTGTAATTTATCAAACTTAGATCTTTTGAATTCGCTCTTATCAAGATTTAGAGGTAAGGTCTATTCTGCATTGGGTCGAGACACTTGATCATTTTTAAAAAGTGGGTCCACAGAAAAAACCCACAGAGGTAGGGTATAATCGGTCCGCTTACATGTCTCCCAGGTACTGAGGACGGCAAAGGGCTTGGTCCGCCATCTTAGACAGTGTCTCCAAAGAAAAATCTTTAGCTGTAGCTGCTCTCTGGAAGACTTCATGGACCATGGTGCCGTTTAGCATTTGCTTCGAGCCGCCGTCAAAACTCTGCATCACAGCAAACAGAACGAACAGGAGAAGGTAAAGAGTATAGCATTGTGTGTGAGAGTGTACTGCCCAGATTTAGGGACAATACACAATAATCAGCAAACATAAAAACAGGTACTGATATTAATAGTATTTGTAAAGCTTTTTACCTTGAACATATCTCCCAGTACTGCACGTCTCATGCAGCGGATGGAGTTAGAGATGCTGGTACCTGAGATAAGACTGTCAGGTAGTAAAACCAGGAAGCCCTGCTCCCTGTCCACTACCCAGCATCCACCATCAGAGCAGCCCTCTAGATGCACCACAGCACCACAACAAACGGGCGTCGTTTCCCTGGAAATACCAAAGGAATGATACTTTCAGACGGATATGAAGACAAAGACACCCAAACACGCACAATGAAGACATAGGCAAAGAAACAGAAAATTCAGTGCTACTTTCACAAATCCGGGCATTGTGGGGAGAAGTTTGATGCACACCACGATGAAAGTAAGTAATTGAATAACAATGTGAACAGAACAGAAGACCTTAACACGAGGTATTACCATCCATCTTTCAACAGACACGTTTCAGTTGGATGTAGAGATTTGGAGCATGAGATGGTCAGTGCTTTGAGGCCAGGCCTCTCCTCCACATCTACAACCCAGTAGCGGTTGTTTAGGCCTCCAGAAAGGATCACATGGTCTGGCACCTTACTGTATGAACAGAGAGGAAATATATCATACATCTGCCACGTATCATTTTCTAAAAATCAGAATGAATGGAAACACCTGCCCACAGAGGGATCAACTGACAGATAGCAGCTTGTCAGCAGATTATTGGTCACCAGGTCAAGTGCTTGAAGCCACATACACTCTGTGTCAAGTGCTCATATTTCCTCCTTTATTATCGACATGAGCAATTTTATCATCCCTTAACCTAATCAAACTATGCGGCAAAATTCTGTTCATGCATCTCTCACCGGGCTTTTTTTGATTTATCATCTGTGACAAGACATTCACTGTGATCCATCTGCTCTGCAAACCAGCTCTCGTCCAACAAATCCTCCACAGGACCCGATGACGTCACTCCTGTATTTTCTTTAGTGCGACAAAGAAAAAAGTATACGTATCAATATATTATTAAAATCATTTAAAAAGCTTAAATCTTGTGTTTTCCTAGTCTTAAAGGCTGCATTGTTGGTAGGTGACACCATGTTTTTAACTGAGGGCCAATCACACGGACACTTTGCTTCGGAGAAACACTTCTGAACTCCATGTTTTTCAATGAAAGATACATTAAAGCATTAAAGCAGGGCTGGGAGTCTTCTGCAACATGCCTGCTTTTTTGTCACAACATAAATAGTGATAGTTAACAGTTTTTATAAAAACAATTACCTCCAGCTCGATCCTGGTCCGATGATGCCACATTGTCCCCGTCTTCATTTGACGAGGTCATTGCTGTTACTGTAGCTCCTGCCTTGTTAAGGTCAATCTCTCCCCCCTTTGCACCTCTCTTCGTTGCAGCTGTTATGGTTTGAGCACCAGGTTTGTGCATGTGAGCAATGAGAGTGGGAGTATCCTTCACCTCAGTTGCTTTCTGCTCTGTTATCACAGTAAAACCAGAATCTTTCTCATGTTCATTCATCGTATTCTGATGTTTTCTCTGTTCCCCAAAAGAGTTTTTGTTGCCATTGAAGACCACTTCAGTACTTCTGCTGTGACCCTCAGACTGACCCTCTGACTGGACTCTTGAAAAACGAGGCGTCTTCAAAGTGCCAATCACAGACCTCGCTGCTTTCAGATTGCTACCTGTGGGGCTGAGCACAGATCTATGTGCCTGCATATTGACATTTCTTGGTCTCTTTGCATTGTGAGATGCTTGAGGAGGGCTGATGACTCTTTTTACAGAGCCAGAACATCCCTCTTCCCACTTGGGTTTTCTTCCCTCCTCGGTTATGACTCTCCGTGCACTCTGCCCTTTGGAGCGAGGACTCCGACAGATGGGGGACAGTTGGCCGAGCTTCTCCAGGCTCGCCACCTCTTTGCTGGGCTGGGGGCTCGGCCGACCTGGATTTCTGGAAGGAGAAGGGGAATCGAGCCTGATCTGACTGCTGGGGGTCTCGGGCACAGAGAAAAGATCAAGCGAGGAGGACAGGAAGTTTTCAAGGTCCCCAAGGATACTCCTCTTTAGGGGGGAATGGGGTCTGAATGTGGAGGTTTCACCATCTTTGATCAGAGGTTCAGTCCTGGCAAGTGCAGTGCCAGTGAATTTTTTGGAAGACGACAAGGCCTAAAACAAACATAGTAAAATGAAAATGTTGATACATTAGCTAAACGTTAGTAGTAGTACACTGTTTATGTAAATGAGAGAGAAATACAATAGTGCACTGCAGCGTAGGGTGCATAGCAAGGGAAAAGGTAAGAAAAGGGACAAGCAAGTAAATAACAGAAGACGATAAACATAAGGGGTAAAAACAATTAGATGAGTAAATCAGTAACATCCTTGACCAAAGCAACTTAAAGAGGTGTGTAATGAGTTTAAAGACAAAAGAAGAAAGTGCTGCCAACACGAGCAAAACAAAAAGCACAGAAATTATACATGTTAGGTATTATATGTAATGTTTAATTAATTCTGGTCTTAAAGGCACTATTTTAGAAATTTACAGTTATAAGTTATGTAATGTTCTTATGTGATTGTTGTTACCAGGTGAAATGAACAATATATATGCATATACCCATTTGGTAAATACATGCACATTACTAATAATGATCTCTCAAATTCTTAATCTGTCGAAATGATCCATAATGTTATTATGCTATAATATCAAGATTTGAAAATCCCGTCAAAAACTGAAAATACTGCAAAGACATTCTTTTCTTTAGTAAAAGAAAGAAAAAGAAAAAAGTACCTTCTGGTGGTTTTGAGAGGAAAAGAAGGAGATGTTCTTCTGACCAGACACGCCAGGTGCCTGACAGAAACCACAAAGAAAACATTTACCTGCATTTACCTGGAGACATTCGTCTGTTGTCCAATGAGACACCAAGTTACAACAGAGCATCACATTTAACATTTGTATATAAATGTATGAATATGTTGTTCCTCTAATATATAATGATTAAACCAGACTTAACTGAGTCAACCAGAGACTGTGGACATAATAAACTACCGCAGGTGCCACATTTAACCGTTAACGTTAACGTTATACTGTCTCGTTAGAGGCTGGTTCGGTAACGTTACTGTTAAAATCCTCGTAAAGTCGTTGCTACTGTTGTAGAAAAACAACGGCCATGTTAGCTAAACCTTCTGTACTCACCTTGGTTTTCTTCAGTTTGGTCCTGTTCATGGTGACAGATTAAACCACCGCAGGCGCGTGTATTCATGCGCTCCTTCTTACCCTCAGTCAGCTCGTCTACCAGAGGTAACGTTAAACGAGCTGTTTAGTAGCGATACCTTCTTAGCTAACCTCACCGGAGTTAACGACACAGCTATCCGAAGAGAGCTTATTCTGCTGAGTTTCGTACGACTCTACATCTCCACAACCAGGAGATTGAGGACTTCTCTGATACCGTTAGTTAACGTTCATTTTCAGTTTAAACTACCGCACTATTTCAATGTTTGAATCCATCTTTTTGATGGCGTTTCCACTGTCTCTCCCAGTGTTCAAGATGTGGCGCCAAAGTTCAGCTTCGCGCAACGGAAATTACATCAATGCACTTCCGCCAAAACAAGAAAATAAAAGTGTGAGAGGAAAGCGGCTAAAAGCTACAGAAAAAAACAAGTACTGGTACAAGTAGTGATAAGAATTGATCCAACATTATTCCTTTCTACCTCGTATATAATGCAGTTTTAGGGATAGTTTGGTTGTGTACATTTGTAAACTAGAAATTATTTGTAATTCGGGGAAAGCAGTCATAAAATAGTATTCAATCAAGGCCAGTACATATTTCTATATTATTGTTATGTTGTCAGTTTTTTTGTTATTCTGGATGTGGCCTGTACATAGTTGAACTCTGCTTGGAGATAAAGCTACATTTGATGATGATGATGACGATGACGATGATGATGATGATATATATATTTAAAGAGCTATTGTTTTGATACAGATGAAACTGTGTCAGCTGACCTCCAGAATCATCCTGGAGGACTAAACCATCAGAAGGTAGCTCTGTATTTATAAGCTACACATAATGAACTCTCATTGGTCCAGTGTCCCTCAACTATGTCACGAAATGCATTCTGCATCATACTAAACTGACAGAGTGGCTTTCCTTCAAGCCAACATCACTTCAGTCTTTGAGGTTGTGAAGCAGCAGAACATTGAGCAGTATTTCTAACTGATCACCAGTCAGCCCTCTCCCTGCAGTCGTCATGCAACATTTACTCTTTGAAGCATGGTCAAATTAATTTTACAGCTAATTCTACCTAGCTTTTGAATATCCATCCCTCAACTAACAGCTTTTGTTTTGCCTTTGTGAATAAGGATCAATTAACATGATTGCATGCTCTTTTCTCAAGTGCAAACGTTTTCCATCTACAGCCTGTAAACTATTGCACCATCAGTTTGCCCAGTGATTACAGGTATGCAAAATATTCAGCTATCTAAAATGTCTCTATAGGTGGAAAAGGTAAATCTGGACTTTAAATTTAGTTCTCAAGTGCAGAACAACTTTGGCCAACATTTGCTTTGGTATCATTTCCTTAGGAGTAAAAAAAAAAGTTCCTTATTGCAGTGAAATCTCAAGTACTTAATTTGATCCGTCTTCCAAGAATGTTCCCTGGAGCAAACTCACAACTCTTACTCTTCAGACATACCAAAGTTAGACAATATTTCACTAGCAGAGTACTCTACTTAACTTTGACTAACTTAGGTCAAAATATGATTTTGAAATCAACATATTACAAAGATAATATGGCATTTCCTTCACCTGTAACACTACAAGATGGCACTTCATTAAGTTCTCTCCACTGGAAGGGAACTTCATCATGATTTATCGGCATGCAAGAGGGGCACTTTTGTTGCATTTCTTTTGAGTCCACCAGTGGATCCCACTAACAAGTACTGCGTAGCCAAAGCCTGATGTGTCCCATTCATCTGTGCTGTACACCTCCATTGTTGTCCAAAAACCTAAAAAACACACCAGTGAGCCACACTATTGTACTGGGTGACATGTTCCTCCATTACCATGAACATGGGCACTGAGTCAATCCCACGTAATGCTGGAAATACTTACTGGAGCACCAGATCAGCATCTGAAATAATCAACAAATGCATTGCTGTCTGAATAGTATTTTCTAAAATCTACAATGGCTGGTGTTTTAGGAAATTATTGAAACTTCATAGTATGTGTAACTGGCCTTAACATCTTCACTAAGATTTCATTGGCTCAGGGCTGAGTCAGGGTTGGCAGAGTATTAAAACTAACACATTGTTTGTTTTGCTTTATTTCTTCAGAGAACCTTGTTTTACAAGTTCAAAAGAAAATAAATTTGAGGTTCGCACTTAACACAAATGTTTTGTCACTTGGAGAAACATTTACAACATTTCTATTTTACAGTACAAAAGTATATACTAACATAGATAAAATGGGTTTACACAAAAACGTTTTATTTTATACAATTTCCTCTTCCAATGCGAGTCCTCGTCCACTCTACCTGGGATATTATCAAGTAAATACCACGGGAACTAATCATGTCTCCAGTCTACAGATTCTCTCCTGCATGAGTCTTCATATGAATAAGTAAATGGGAGCGTCGAATGAATTTTTTCCCACAAGCGGGGCAACTATATGGCCTCTCCCCGGAATGAGTCTTCATGTGGCGCGTTAAATTAGACTGAGCGCTGAATTTCATTTTGCACACAGTGCAAATGTAAGGTTTCTCACCGGTGTGAATTATTGTGTGCTTGATGAGGTCCGCCTTCTCTCTAAAACTTTTACCACAGTCAGTGCAGCTGTGAGGTTTCTCTCCTGTGTGGATTCGTATGTGGGCGTTCATGTTTCCAACTTGTGTGAAGCCTCTGCCACAGAAACTACACGTGTGCGGTTTCTGTCCGGAGTGAGAATTCATGTGAGTCTGTAGATAGGAGCGCTGGATGAAGCTTTTACCACAAACACTGCACCTGTAAGGCTTCTCTCCTGTGTGTGTCTTCATGTGGCGAGTTAGAATGGATTTAATCCTGAAATTCTTGTTGCAGACGCTGCAGGTGTACGGTCTGTCTGCCGATTCATCAGCTTGCTGGGGTTTCTTCCTGTTTACACCCGAGTGAAATCCTCCACAGTCTCTCCCTTCATCGTCACTAACTTCACTCATCTGACAGTCACTGGTTGGCTCTGATGCATCACAGCCTTCTTTATCAGGTTCTGATTTCAACTGTTCACATGAGCTGCTGCGCACATGGTCTCCTTTATTTTCAACCTCTAGGTTTTGATGTGGGAACCGTCTTCCGTCGTCATCCTTCCTTTGCACATAAATTATATTGAACATAGAGTCTTTTGTATCAGCTTCCTCCTGCTGATTTTCACCTGCCTGAGCAGTCCACGGTTCCTCCTCCTGCTCCTCCTCTTTAATCTGCGGGGGCTCCTGGTCATCCTCACGCAGGTCAGGCTTCTTCTCAAAGTGACACTGCTCAGAGGGAGGGGCCTCTTCCTGGACAGAGAGCTGCACTGGGGCTGGACGGTATCACACACGAGAGAAAAAACAAAAAAGCTTTAGTTTTATCAGTTATTTTGATTTGTAAATATTTAGCAGAGCGCTAGACAAGACAGGCAGAGCAGCACAATGTGTTCCAGCATATATAACTGTCATAATTTTGCAAGGTTATGTTATGATGTGCAGTCTGCTCATTAAAAGACGGGGAACAGCAACAAAACAACTACACTCTTTCTTTCCAAGACAACAACAGGTGCAATGATGCTTGTTTTTTAATGGCTGCCTGTTTGTGCCATAGAAGGGTCTTCTTTGTGGAGATGTCCTTGCAAACAAAAGGGTAAAACAAATATAAACAATGTAGTTTGACTTACAAATGAAATTATGTCTAAAATTAGTTTAGAGTCAATAAGCCAGCTTCATTTCAGCACTTATTTTTGAAATGTACTGCATTATGAAATACACAGTTAATGGTTTAACAACTAGATGTTTTGGGTTCACGGTTCATCATGTTTTTAATTCCACAAGGAAGATGATGGATAAAGGCGGTAAAAGTGCCTCTGTGTCTGTATTTTGTCTATTTGTCTACGTCTCACAGGGCATCACAAGTCAAACTGATTATAGTCACATGTTTGACCACATATTATACACCACTGTATCACTCACTGCCTTCTTCTTTTGCTACACATGTGAAGATTTTTTTCAATGTGGGGGTTTAACTCTACTGTAGCCTAGAGATCATAATATCATTAACAAAATCTGAGACAAACATGCCTGTTAATGTAACTCGACATATAGTCACCATCAATTCTAAATAATCAGATAAGCAGCACTGGCAACACAGTGTGTATTATTAATCATATTTTGGGCATGCACAAAAACCTGGACTTGTTATATGAGCCATATAATGGACTTAAGACAGGACCACTTTATAATGAAAGACATCTATTTTTAATATTAAAATAGCAAATAAACTGTTCCCATTGACTTTAACTCCATCTATCCCTCTTTATTCTCCGACCTGACAGGAAAGAGGTTGCAATGAGGTAAGTAACAGGTGCAAAGGCTTTCAGCTCCACGTCCTGTTGCCCGAGGACCAACAAAACCGTTGTGTGGTACATTTGACCAGTGACAGCCATTTTGCATCCCCTCCCCCTTCAGGGATGCAAAATGGCGCTACTTGCTGTCCCCTGTAAAGCATATTTAAGGAGTGGCCCAGCTGATTGAAGGAGTCAGTACATCTCAACAGACGCTACTCTGATTCAATCAGGAGTCAGGACCCCTGAGTGTGTCCTGCCGTTAACGTTAACTTACCTTTGCACCCCGCCAGCCTGCTTCGTTGTTGGTCCACCTGCTGAAAAACGATCTCCTCATAGTCTTTAATAGTTCTCTCAAAGATGATGAATATTTCCTCAGCGGCGGCTTTCAGTCGCTCATTCACCAGAGCTTTTAGTTTATCTGTTTTGAACATTTCCGCGGGTGACAGAGGATCTCCAGTCTGTCTCCTGACGGGCTGACAGAAGACTGGCTGCTCACTGGGTTGCCAGATATCGCGAGAGAAACAAGCAATCTAAAATTAGAAGACACTCACTCATAGACTCACCCTTCTATCTTTGGAACAAGACGGGTTTGAAAGCTTAAATAAATACATTTACTAATCAAGCATACTTCTTTCATAGTTAAATGAATTACATTAATATAGTGTGTGTGAGATATGTGTAGAAATCATGTGTTTTAATTTACCAGAAAAGCAGATCGACTTCATGATGCATTTTGGTACATGGGCTGACAATTACCCTATTCAAACATTAATTTGTAACTAGTAAAATGATGGGCTGTGAGGATGACAAGTAACAATACGGAAAAGCATAATAAACGGACATGGCAACACTGGCTGCTGAGGCACACAATGGCCCCAGTCCCTCTACGTGCTGGAGCTTTGCTGCCACCCAAAGGCCATGAAACAGGACACTGAATCAAGACCTCAGGAATGAACAATTTCAAATACCTATTTGTGGGCCATTTCAACAGGGATTCTAGCCAGTTTATATCACGTTATTAGGATATTTACATTGCATTTTAAATGAAAAAAGTTTAAAAACCAGAAACTGGAACACATTCAGGACTGTTTTATGTTTTAAAACGACTTACTTAGACCTGATGGCCTACCAAATTGCCTTGGCTAGAATAAAACAGATGCGCAGCAGTTGTTGACAAGGAGATGACATCCAGGTTAGACCTACAGTCTATGATATTAATGACTGCTGCACCTTCATTTGACACTTTAAAAAGCCAACGCCGATATAATTGTGATTATATTTGCTTCAGTCAGAGCTGCAGCCAGAAAGTGCTGATACTATATCAGATTTGTCAGGATAAATGCTGTTAAAAACAAGGTGGGATTAACAATAGCTCTCACTTTCAGTAACTGGATACATGTCTAAGTCTTTGTTACAGAATTCATTTTTAGGTGTTCTTTGTTTGTCTCTTCATGTTCCTTATCAATCCTCAAATGGTGATGCCTGTGAACCTGCTTAACCAAAACAAATGGGTTGCTCCACTCAAACCTGACCCAAACAGCCTGTACCATCATCAACCTATGTTGTATCATTTAGCTTCAGTTTTGTGCATATTGATGATTATCTATTAACCTAAGATGTGCAACAAGTTGCACTGATTGATTTCTGAAAATACTTTCTTCCCTAAATCCATGCTAAAAACAATGTCAAAGATATTTTACAGACAAATTATTATTAATGATTAATTACTTATAATTGATTTATGCTTCTTTATTTTATTATTATTCCGATAATATTTCATTGTATTCTATTTTTGTAAACTTTATTTTTTTACTATGTTTTTCTTTTAGCTTGTTTTACCAGAGATACCGTTCATGGCTTATTGTTAGTTTAGACGTGAGGATTTAGGTCCTCTGTTTCAATGTGGTTAGTCAGACAATAACATACCAGTGGGGGCCCACACACACACACACACACACACACACACACACACACACACACACACACACACACACACACACACACACACATGGCAGAGGAGAGATAAGTTCATACATCATGTAAACTTTACAGGACAACGTGACAGACCAGCTTGTTCTGCACAGACCCCACACCTCCATCTATCTACTCTTAAAGTCCAGCTGAAATTAAAATGTTTCACCAGTAATATAGAGTTTTGGTAGCCGGTCTGTGTCCTCAGCTGTTAGCCAAACGGAAAATGTAAAACAGAAGAGTGAAATGAAGCTTTCATAAAGAGGACATGCTCACAGGTGGCTCTCTTGTAAATAGTTCTGGTACGTGCACATTCTGACACTGTGTCCTGTGTGTTTACACTGTATAAGCAAGTGCAAAAGAGTTCTCAGAAAGAAAGTCAGACTAAAATAAAAGAAAGTACTTCAGGGTTGCATCATCTTTTAGATAATATCAGTAACTTTTTGGGAACCCAGATATAAACAAAACAAAAATGAAATAAAGTAGGTCTACTGTAAGAATAACTCTTGATGAAATGAAGTATACCTGATTGCTCTGTCTCTGTAATACCATCACTACCAAAACACTGTGACATTACTTGTAAACTACAGTCACCAGAGCATTTGTTTGTATTGCCTCTCTGTCTCCCTGCAGGTCCAGCTGCCACTCAAACATGCAGAGCAGTAACACAAGGATTTGATTTGCTTTCATGCTTCCTACCAGTGTGTTGTATTATTGTTAACATGAGAAAGACAGAAAGACACATTTCGGTGTCATTCATTTGTTAATTAAGCATTTCAAGTTTTCAATCTCTGCACACAAGGAATCATTATGGATACTAAGAAGGACTGATGCATCAGATTTATTTTTTAGTTCAGATCAGTAGTTCAATCACAGTTCCCTATATTATTGTGGAATTGATAGCAGCTCACACGCCCCATAAAAATTTGATTAATTTTGCTCCTTGTTTGTCGCAGATGAGTAACTGTGCTCTGATGAGGTGACTCAGCTGGCAACATTGAGAGGGACCTATCATCAATGGTGCTAACATGCATGTCATAGAGACACGAATGATCAGATTGTTGTTTGTCTTTGTCTCAGATGTCTTAAATGACTTAATGTACATTTTAAAGAAATGCTCATTATCTATTTTATTTCTAAGGCTCCAATCACAGCACACACTGCAGATGAAATCTATTTGCCGTTTTTGGTATTTCAATGAAAATATTGACTGTACAACTAAGATAATTAAACGTGACGAGAAAAGAACAGCATCATGGTTTGACACAGTTAAATCATACTTGCGTACTTTTTGAAGTCACAGTACTAATGTAGAGTTTGACTTTTAGGTCACACATTTGAAATCTCTTAATCAGAATTTGCTGCAAAGTTGTCACTGCTGCTGAAACTTTTATCTTGTCAAATAATGGTAGCAGTAGCACGAGTCTCTGCTACAAGCTGGCTTTAAACCTCCTCATGCATTAATCAACGAGCTGCAGCCTTATGAATGGTGAGGACAACAGTCAGTAAACTCTGGCGTCAACTGCGTATTTACACATTCTCATCTAGTCACTCCACGGACTCATTCATCCATTCATGCACTTTTATCACTTGTTCGTACTGTTTCATTAGATCTTTGTTACCGGCCTTAAACATTTCTCTGCCTCCACAACACTTTTTTACAAAGGTCAAAGCCAAATCTAGAGAAGGAAAGAAAGAAACAAGGGATGCACAGAGGAGAGAAAAGGACAGAGAGATAATTGGATAATAGGCTCATTGGCATCATACTACATTTATCAAAGCCTGACTAAATTGACCTTTGGATCTGTTTCTACATATTAATGATCAAGCTATTTAATACGCACAGTCATGTAGCTGACTAAGAACTCCATTAAGTTCATCAAAGAGTTTCACAGGTGCATCTCTAACTCCACCAGACAATTCAACTTTTTGTATTCAGCTTGTATTCAGGTGTAGGAATTATTTATATCTAATGAGCTGATTAGAATGTCATCACATAGATTACAAAAGTGAGCACACACACATATGACACACACAAGGGGAAAAACAATGCACACATACAGCACAACAACACACAGAGCAATATTCAGACACACACCTCCACGCTTCACCAGGACGGCCTACAGTCAGGTATCGTGTTCAGACTGGACGTGTCACCTTTACACTTTGAAGTTTTCTTTCTGTTATGGAGTAATTGCTACTTTAGTGCACAGAATGCATGGATTTAAGTCTTGTATGTTTCTAACACTTGCTAACTTTTCACGACCTCTCAAATATGGCGCATGTTCAGGTGTTAAAAATGGGTCAGGTTGGTGGGAGGCATGTTTGGTTTATTTAATTTAATTTTTTTGTTATAATTGACACCTGGAATCAATTCAAATATTGCAGATTTTTCAGCCAATCCCAACAAGTTGGCAAAGGAAAATATGAACCATGTGTTTCCACCAACTATTTTCCAAATGTTCTCAGGGCAATGACCTTTCTGTGAAGCATAGCATTTCATGGCTGCTTTACACCTTAGATGGTATATATATATATATATATATATATATATTACTTTGATGAATGACTTGGACTCCTTTGTTTTTTCTGGAGCTTTCTGGTGATGTTGATGAATCTGGTTCGACCTTTGTTGCATGTCACTTTGTATAGAAGGCAAATTGCTAAAAGAAGAAATACACTGGTAATTATTATAGTTTTCTATTTTTTAGTACATTAGTTATTTGTATGAAAGAGCATATAGATCTACCTCTTCACATTTATTCACCACCACCACAACCATGAATAGTTGGTCACTGAGCAGCTCCACCAGTAGAGGTGGAATGTGACAGAAGTTTTGGAGGGCATCTGGACAGAAGTTATAAAAGGAGGGGAAGGTTTTTGCCACTTCATTCATCAAGCTTGAACTGGCCTTTCTTCTTCTTCACTATCGCTATTGCCAACACTACAGCTCTGCTGCTTCAGTATTCATGAACTGTTGTTACGTAGCATGGTCCTTAATCTTTGCCATGCATCTGACTTAGTAATCACTGTTCTGTTTCACAGTCACTGCTCCCAGTAATGCGAGTTCTATAGTGTGCAATCCATGCAACCTTCACCCCACCTCTTGCAGATATAAATACAATCAGCAACAACAGCAAATAGTTTGTATTGTTTCATAAAACTAAGCTGAGGACTTATTTTATATTTAACTACATCAACACCATAAAACCACATTCTGCACTGAAGCAAATTATCAAGCATGAAAATCAGTACATGACAAAAATCCTCATGACATGCAGCCAAATGATACACACTGAAAGCACACACTGTTGTATTTTAATGTTGTTTTGAAAATGATGATTTCAGTAGCTTCAGGAGCACATGAAGAGGCGTACTCATCTGGGAAACTTCAAATATATGGAATAAAAGTGGTTGTCACTGCATTTTAGAGTAACAGCTTGTGCAGACTGTTTTGCAATGACCTCAGAGACAACAACTTTGCCTTTGCAGTGATAGCAACACAATGTTTCCCCTGAAGTATATTACACCAGTGAAATGGTATTTTCAGATCAACTCTAATACAATAGGAGGCATTTACGATGGTGGCCCAGAAGTACAAAGTAAAATAACGTTTCACAAAACGAATGAACAAAACCAAAAACAAGTGTGCAGCTGTCACTATCGGAGTTCAACAAAAATAGATGAACAGTATTGTCTGTGCTTGTGTAAAATGATCATACACAGACAGTGTAATGACCCCCACATTTCACTGTCTTCATCTCACCCGTCATTTTCAATTTCATGTTTAATTTATAGATAAAACCTGCAAAGATAATAGATAACTTGAACTGTTTTTGGTGTCGTATATAACTACAGTTACAATCAGCACAATTAGCCAACATCCTCCTGCAATCAGAACTGCTTCCTTTCTGGTTGTACTTTTGACACAATGAGCTCTGCTGGTGGAGAATTTAGGCTAAAAGTGCAATTAAAAGTCCCTAAACAAGACAGAGGCAGCTGAAAATATCTGATGGCATTACCGATAAATCCAGTTTTTTTAGCTCAGAGTGATATCAGTGTGTATTCTGTATGTCTGTGAAATATGTTTATGATCTGTTTTGTGATCTTTTAGCCACTTGACTTGATGTAAAGCAATGCCAGATTGTTGGTTGGCCCACCACTTTGGTCCAAACTGAAACAACTCTGTAAGTTTATAACTATTGGATGGATTACCATGAAATGGTGTACAAACAGTCATGGTGCCCGGAGGATGAAGCATTATGATTTTAGTGGAAACAATGACGTATTTGTGCTTTTGAGTGAAGTGCCTCCACAACTACATGGATCGCCACGAAATGTGAGAAACATTAATAAATCACAAATCTTTGTTTGTTCTTTTAGATTCTATCCATCATATAGATTCTCTAGCTGAGAATTCAATTTTCAAGCTCATTGGTTCATGTTCTTTTACTAGTAACCCAAACAGAGTCACCTGGGGCCAAGTTTTATTAAAGAAAACACACTCTTCATTTGGGGTTTCACCAGAAAACTGCCTGAATCCAGATCTATAAAACTACGTTTCAGTTTCCCTTACTGCATGACCATTTCAATTATTGAGTGTACATAAGAGAAAGAAAAGAGATGCTGTACGGACATTAAAGATGATTAAGTGTTGACGGCATGTTTACATGTTAAGTAAAAGCAGACGTTTGCCATTTGGGAAAATATCCAAAATATAATTTGTTTCATGTTATCTGGATGATTAAATCTTTGTTGTGCTGTGGTGGTTCGCTCTATTCCTGTTGTTAGTGTATTGAGTGGTGTCATCAATGTTAAATGCCAGCATCACATCAGACTGATACCAGACTAATGAATGAGTCTCACATAATATTGGTTTTCATGGTGTGGTCATTTGGTTGACATATTCAAAACAGTGTGTCTGCTTGGCCTGCGCTGATGAATAAATATCTAATTTCTTTGCAGTCATAGTTGGAGAAGTATATAAATGTGGCTTCTATGGCACCAGAGGTGTCGACACACCTCTCCATCTATGTTCCTGCTGCTGTCTACACTGACTGATTAGCTTAGTTTGTTATGTTGTGCAGAGCTAAATGCCAGCATCAGACCTGACACTGGGCTTTCCACCAGACTAATAGATGACCAGCACCCTCCCACACATTATTGCACACAGTGACACAGTGTCAGTGTGTGTGCAGGTGTCTGTGTCTACAAAGTGGGAAAAGATAGGAGAATATATCTGTTTTGGCAAAATTATATTAATGAATTTGATAATAAGCCAAATACTCCACGGTTTCTGATTTCCTACAAGAAAAATATGAAAAATGGTGAATGGCAATGTTCACGCATGGATCCACTAGTCTTGAGCAGGCATTCTCTTACTAGTTAACTTTTGTTCTGGATAAATGTTTTATTAATAAAAAATAAAAAAAATCTTTCCCTGTCAGCTCAATTAATTAGAAGAAGATCTATCCATGTCCTCATTAGCTCTTTGATTGAACTTTTAAGACACACGCTAATAGCAAACAACCCATCGTATATCTGTTAGAGGCAGTTAAATGGAATTTAAATGAACATTAACGACTTGCTTAGGGGAAAAAAATTGGAAAACTTCTGGAGAGTAAAATGAACTTCATGCTGTTATATAACAAAATGAGTGCATTATGTCAACGTAAAGATGTATTACTTTGCCTGCCGCCTTACGTTTGTTTTATTACTTTTTTAAAGATGATCTTCTTTTTGACAAACCGAAGCTTTCAGTCTTAAATTTGCTGCTTCAAATCATATCTGAAGGTTTGTACTAATAACTTCTGAGCTCATGATTGATTTTGAATGTGTCAAATATGGTGTAAAGTGCTTCACTGCTATTCCACTGGCTCTGATTTCAAATGAGTTTATTGGCTTTGTCAACTAGAGCATGCATTTAATTTAACACTGTTATAGTTATGCTAGGACCATTAACTTCATGCAAGCAGTCCATTAGTAGAGGTTGAATGGGTAGGAGGAAACTGTGTGTGTGTGTGTGCGCGTGTGTGTGTGTGTTGGCCAGCTTGGTGGGTCCAAATATTCCTAGAAGAGTATGGCTTGTGTGACAGTTCTGGTGTATGTTTGGTTAAAGTTTGACAGCGATGATAGATAACACTGCAGGAGCTGATCTCCTCTTCAGACTCCAGAGTTGCTGCAGTGCTGAGAAAAAGCTAAGAGTTTGAAATCTTCTCCACTGGGAGATTAGTGTGTTTATAGGAGTCTTCAGCACCTTTCTATGAAGAGATAACTATTGTGTTTGAGAGAGGTAAATAAAAACAAACAGGAAATAAAAACTTGAATCAACTCAGTACTAATAAGACATGACAGTGCAAGCGTTGGCTGCAACTTAGAAAAAAACGAATACATTTGGCTCAGGAAGGTGTACAAGATAAAATACAACAGTATTCAGATAATAATTGATTTCATAGCTTTAAAGCAGGTGAAGTGAAAGTCGTGTAAGCCGCCCTTGACAAGACAGCACACTGAAGGTGGATTTATGCCTCTGTGTCAGTGTGTTACGGACTGTTGGAGTGAGAATTGACAGATGGACAACCTTTCTGTCACAATATATGTTAAATGGGAAGATTACGAAAAGGCTGTAGTTACTACAAAAAATATATCAAAATAGACAACAGATTAAAGGATATCTATAGCTGTCACCTTCTGTCAGCTATACGGTCATATATATAAGACTTTACTCTCAGCCTTTACTCTCCTCTGCTGCCTGTACATCTGTCTGCTCACGTGGTTGAAGGTGAACAGCTGAAGAGGAGACATGAATGTCAAAGGACTGACAGATTGAGAGTGAGATGGGCAGACATGACAGTCACACACATCAACTCAAAGTCTCACAGGAGAAACAGACACTATACTGTGGTAGATGCAGAGGAAGAAGAATGAAGATGGAATTGTGCAATATATATTATTTTAAACACTAATGAAAGATACTTCTTGAGAAGAATTTAATTGGCATACATATACATTTTTTTTTTTTCAAAAACATAACCATATAGTGAGTCTATTAGACTGATTCTGTGCAGTGTGAGAAACTGATAAGGAATAATGTAGATATTGGATGATGCAGCTCACAATTTACGTCCAATGCCAACATTAGCGTTAATGCATGAAATAGTGAGCCTTTTATGTAGCAAGGCAGAGGGTGGAGTGGTGTTGCTGGTTGATGGGTGTTTGGCAGGTCAGACTAACCTGAACAAGTTTAGATGGTTTAACTGACAATATATTTTAATACACATCTGGTCTCCTTCGGAGGCTTTTAACGAGGCAGGGTGATCTACGGTTTAGGATGTTGATCTATCAGATGCAACACACTGGAAATGTAAGCAACATGGGTGTTGGTGGAGTTTGGCAGTGTTACATAAATACTGGAAGACTTTCGAATGGTGTCAAATGCACTGTATTTAAGGATCTGTTACATCTCATGCAAACATTGCTCTCACCTGCTCGGCTGCATGATCACACCATTACAAGTGAATATTCAAGTGACAGATCTGCGATGACACTGCAGGCCTATGCGTCATTGGCCAATGTATTCTCATTTCTGAGATACATACTTGTAATGTCACTTTTCATTTGGACACATAGCGCTTTAAATCCACAACAAAAAATGTGTTGGAGGACTCACAGCTGTGACTGCTATGAGAGTGGGATTTTAATAATACAAATATATGTTCTGATTGGGGAGTTGTCGAGAAAATGAGAGCAGGCGGGAAGAAACCAAACAAGTTATTTTAAGTTCAGTGTTGGTGGAGCAGAGCAACATGATCACTCCTACAAGACCATTCAAAACAGCTTCTTCCTTCCTTGTTGGTGATCATTTGGTGGTGTTAGGAGTAAAATATTAATAGGTTCCATCTAGCAGGAAGTCCTCAAAGCAGCAGGAGACAACGGTGTAACAATAAGAATGAATACAACACAAACACCAAACCACTCTGCACACTCCTCATTGCCAGAGCTCCCTCTCACTTTACACACAAGCTCCTCCAATGTGTAACACAGTTGAAGAACCACAGCAAAGTAATGCTGAGATCAGCAAATGTTTTGCACGTCAATGTTTCTTAAGGAATCAAATTCTCATCTGCATAATGGCTCTATTATTGATTACTCATCTATTCATTTACGTTTTCAATGTTAATTAACAAATACATTTTGTTGTGATTTAAACTCTATGGAGTACATTGTTCATTTTCGTATTTTGGGGGATTTGTTTATTCATAGACATTTTCTGTTTCCCAACCTCTTTCTCCGAGTCACTTATCACTGAAATATTTTGGTATTAAAAACAAAAACTGATTTTTAAACATTAGACACAAACTTGTAGAAATCTCTGTGAACAAACTCATTTCCTTTCTCTAATGTTTCGTCTTTTATTCATACTTGGACCTTTCACAAACAAATCTGAATACTTTTGCATGAAATATTTAGATCCCGTTTGTGACTCAGGGGGAAACCTGCTCTAGAAAATACACAGCGTGATACTGTGTCAGCCAACATTTATTTAACAGCCCCCCCCCCCCCCCCGATATCCCTTTACAGAAAGATCCATTCAGTGCTATAGTCAACTAAATGGTAAAACACAAACCAGCATTAAATCATTTTATTTTCCACCCTTAACCATGCAAAACAACTTAACACACTTCTTTCAGTACATGTGGTTTTGTGCAACTCAATGAACTGACACTCTTTAAAAAAAAAAAATAGATGATGCAATTCCCAGTAAGGCGGCCCCCGTACTTAATGTATGCACTTGTATTTAGCACATGAAAAACAATGTGCACACAGTACATGGGATACATAGCAGTGGTGTACAAAATGTCCTCGCAACTACAAAACTAATAAGATAACTTGGGATGTACATCGGTTTATAATCTTATCCCTTTAAATTGACAACACTGGCACTTAAACTGTGATTTTAGCCTATAGTAATGATAGTTACAGAAAGGTCATCACAATCACTCAAATATTCTTTATGTTATATTACATGTTTAGAAAACATCTTCCATGCTGTACACATTAAACGTGTCAATCACTGTATGGACTTGACCCTCTGGTGAAAAACCAGGCTAACATGTAAACCTTGGTAAGTCCTGTTTGGCCTGATCCTCTCGTGTGCTACTGAACGACAGACAAGAACCAATTTGAAATACTTGGAAACAGCAGAGATGTAAGTACAGTACAGAATATACTAGTATCACTAAGAATGTAGTGGGAAGTCACAAAGACAAAAACAAAAGGGAAATTTGAATAAGAAAAAAATCTAATTCAACAAATATTTTGTATTTGGTTCTAAGTTTTTAACTTCACTTCAAACCAAACAGTTCAGTAATACATTAAATTCACATTATTCACTTGTGCAAGTGCATATCTGTAAAACAAACAAATCACACTGTATTATATGTTGTAGGGTGTTCTAAGGCAGGGGTAGCTTAACCAATGGCACAACAGCAATATGTGTGCAAGAGAGCTTTTTTGGAAATGTTGATGAGCCCTCTCATCTGCATGCCAAATGACCTGTTTCACAGCCATTGTCAGTTGCGTGCCCCGTTATTAACGGTAGTTTGTTTTTTTTGCCCCTACCCGCATTCTGCGAAGCCCCGCCCTACTCTGCCTCTGATTGGCTAGTACTTCTTGCTTTCTTAGCAGAATGTGTTCCCTAAAAACATTTTGTCATATCGATAAAAAAAAAAAAGATAATTCAGGTGCAATTGTGTGTCTCACAGATAGATTTACTGTTGCAAGTTAGTGGTACATAAACTCTAAACCGAGAGGGTTGCTGTACTTAATAACCTTGAGATATCCTCTTATTCTAAGAGTGGCACAGCATTAGCATTCATCTTACAAATCAACGTAAAACTGATCATCTTAAAGCAGACTCAGGCCCTGCATGCAGGTCAGCCTCTTCCCCTTCATTTTCTCAATTCTTCCAGTAAGTTGACTGAAGATGAATAGTTAATATATTTCTGAGGTTGTTAGAGGCAACACTTGTTGTGCTGGACACATCACGAAGGTTCAGCCAGCACTTGTGAACATAATGTGCAGGGCACTCTCTCAAAGTATTTCAAGTTCTATATACAAATAAGGCCAAAAAAATGGAGCTTTAGAGAGATATAGTGTCTCAGCCTACAATATCTTGCATTTGAGTTTTTGGCAAAAGCAGTGTGGATGACAGGAGCTGCTTCACCGCTGGTTGTATAGAGGAGCAGAGCAATGCTTTAATTGCTGGCAAAAAACAAGCAATGAACACAGGTAATAAAGCTATACAAAAAAAAGTCAGTGCTGTATATTGTGGTTGTGTGATTGAACTCGACAGACTGATTTCATTGTCATATTGTAAAAAAGAAGCAAAAGTGGTTGTATTGGTTTCTGCGTTTATCCCTGAGACTCTTTTGGGCACAATGCAGCTAAAAGCAAATCTAAATGAGCCATCATTTCCCACTCATGCATTCATACACTGTATGTTAACACGGTAATATTAATTAACACATCAATGGGCCCTGCTAATTATTTTGTGTTGGATACATGCAGTAACTTTACAGTAAAATTGAAAAAGCAACACTTGACTATCAAACAATCAATTTGGTTGCATAACATTTCCTTCTAGTCAAAGGTAGTCTCCCACAGTGTCTGCAGCAGTATCTGGATTGACTTAACCAACTGTGAGTGTTGGCTGGAGTCCATTTGCTGCTTATCGTTCGTCATCTCCATCAGACCTCTGGCATACACATAAACCATTTTGCCACATGGCCCTGCCTCTTGGCAACCCTTTTATTCTCATTGGAGGTCAGCAGGTCCATGTAGTGACTGTACTCACTGATGGCGTCTTCAACACGAGTCATGTAGAGCCAGCTGGCTATCACACCAAAGAACTGGAGACAGAAAGAGAAAGGGAAGCTAAGTATAGGAAGGCAGGTCACCATCGAGTGCTTCTCATTTGTCTTAAATGTCTCCTCCTTCCATTCTCTTGCGTCTTATCCTCGTGTCTTAATCCCGCCCGCGTTAGACACGAGGAAGGCATGCAAGGAGAGGAATCTCTTTCAGACAAATGAGATGTCTTTTCCTCTGAACCGTTATCTGAAGTAATCTCAGTTTCTGATGACAAAAGCAGAGCTGCATGACCTGTCCGCCTGCAGATGTTGACATCTCTGCATGCATTAGAGTTTGTATTTGCACAGATAATGTGATGTACTGTCACTACTTACAGTGCAGTAGTGAGAATGTGAAATGTCTCTGCATGTTTTCACTTAAATAAACAGCTTTACAAGCATCTGCTCAATCATTAAAAACCGGTATTTTGTATTTATATTGCAGATAATATTTATATTCCTATAACAGATCCGTCAAACCACATTTTGTAAAGATACTGTTAAATATATCATATATAGACTTTCTACCTGACTCACAGGGTCTTTTTACCAGCTGTTCATTAAATGTTTTCACTGCTGAAGGACAGCATATTATTATCCATAAAAGACCAAAAATTAAGAGAAAAAAAACTTTATGGTGATTTATGAAAATTGTTTTTTGCTTCTGTTATTAATCAAAATATTTTTTTACTAAATATCGAATCGGAGCTAGAATAAAATCTAAGCCTGGTGGTGATATAGCAACCGAGTTGAATCAAATGTAACTCAGACTTGGTTTAAATTAGAGACAACTGGAAATACAGGTTTGACGGAGAATGCACCAATAACAAGTTTCTCGTGGAGCTTGTGTAGTAAAATTGAGTTGTTGCTTGAAAAGAATAAGAATCATACAAGAGAAAAATGAAAGAAAAGGGGACGGTTTTTAATTTCCAAAAAACATGTAAACATGTATAGAAACAACATTTTGCTGATATGAACCTCAGAGGTCAGACGCCAAAGGTTAAAACTTGGTTTAAGGTTAAGTTGAAGGTTGGGGTTAAACATGTAATATTTAAAGTTAGTCTAAATCAGGGAATTAATGTAAGCCAATATCCCTTTTGTATGCAGTTTTCTTATTTACGCACATACAAGTGCCCATATGAACTCCTAAGACACTAAAAGAAACACTGTTGCATTGGTGAAACATTTGTCTGACATGAACAGAACTTATTAAATAACATTGGAAACAAAGAACTAGTCAAATGAAATCTGCCACAAAAAAAGGCGCTCTTCCAAAAATACAGCTCACATTATTTCATATTTATTAGAAATTAAGGACATTTTACTGAAGTTATTAATTATTACATATTTAACAATTAAACATGGAATGGACTTCATCCTCAATCACAGAACATACATTTTCTTTCTCTTAAGGGAGACGAATACACCTTCCTGTTTCTTCAGCTGATGGTCGTGTACATTCATGTAACTGTGCACACAGAGATCTTTAACTTCTGCTTTACGACACGATAACGGTTTCTCATCAGACTACATGTTTGTAATTTAGGTTGGTACCAAACAACAGAGCACCTTTCCTTATACTTGAAGAACAATTTGCATTGAGCATCATGAATAACAAACTGCCTTAAATGATGGCGTGTGACACGTTTGTGACAGTATACGTGTGTGTGTGTGTGTGTACCTGAGGTAGTAGGATCCCTAATAGCATTCCAGCCATGATCTTATAGTTGTCCATCAGCCAGATGAAGAAAGCATCAGTGCAGCCTCGGATATGGATGGTTTTAATCAAGTCCAAACGCTGCGAGACACAAATTGCTTGTTACTGTAATTTCAGTTTTCAGTTAGTGATACAGTCAAGGACTTGGTTATTAAGGTGTATTACTAGTTTCGTGAATTACATGCATTAAAGACCACATCATTCAACATTGTGACTAATAATCTTACATTTCATGGAAGTCAATCTTTTGAGATCTCACCTCTTTTTCCAACACCTTGTAGCCACACATAGTGTTGGCCACTTCATTAGGCTGGAGGGGAGAGAAGCAGAGAGAAGAGATACAGTTAAGAGGAAGAACTAATATGTTAGATACAGACAGACGCCTGTGAAGAGGAATCAGCAGCAGACGGAAGAAGGCAAGTTTGTAGTCGACCTTTAACAGTGGTGAAAACATAAACAAGACACAAAATTACACACATAACTACCTCTCTCATGCACACACAGAAGACAGTCCTGAACCGCAAGACTGCTGAAGACATCACGAGAGAAAGTGTGGGTGTGTGTGTGTGTAAGAGACATTGAGCTAGACACTGACCACAATACCTTTGACTGTGTAAAAACTGAAGTGTGTATATGCACGCATTGTCCCTCATGACTTTGAGCTGGTGGTTTTCCATATTCAAATATTCAGATGGATTCATATATTCAAATGAGATTAAACAAACTGCCAATCTCTCGTGGCCGTCTGGCAGAGGAAGAAGAGGAGGGGGGTCAACATTAACATTTTAGCAGCTGTATTTATAAAACTTTTTTTAAATCAGTATTATGATTAATAGTAGGAACAGGAGGGTAGCTCACAACACCCCACTGCTACTATTTTTTGCCCAATGATTCTGCAAAGAGCCCGACTGCAACGATATGATATATCGTCATGTAACTAAAAAGGCAAAAGCAGGAATCGGTGTGCAGTTATGAGCTGGATTGCAGGAGCTGTTGTCTCAGGTGGGAACCCTTGCAGCTCGTCTGTCAGAGAAGAAACACGATGCTCGATGAAGTTGGAGCTAATTGCTGCTTTGTGTTAATATGGACATACAGGCCTGCAATTACAAAGATAATTACAAAGATTATAGAGTTGAAAACTACACTTTTGAGCATCGGAGCCGACAGTAATGAGTCATTGGTTATGTTCAATGAATGGGTATGAATCTCAATACAACATCATCATCATCTAAATATGGATGGAATTATATGATATATTAAGCCCAATTTACATTAACCTTTCATCTGAATGATTACACAGTAGATGGACAAAGCATCATTTTACCTTCAATTTGCACCAAATGGACCACATTTTAAAGACAGGAGTGCAGGAAATGGCAAAAGGACTTACAATTCCATTATATCCAACTGAGTTCTTTGTTATAATGTATATTATAATGTCTTCCTACAGAGTTTAAATGATATCTCTTCCTGTTAATGTCGCCTTGCACTTAATACTTCCAAGAAGTATTATAAATACATCTCTCTATGTGTGTATTTCTTGTTTGTTTGCCAAGACGAGTCTGTTTCGAGGGCAACAGTTGTCAATCTGTCGAAGAGCTTTTATCTCCTGCCATGTGTCGTCTCTGGCGCACACATTTTCTCATTCTTCATTTAAATGTTTGTCAAATGTAATGTATTCATTCCTAAAAGAGATTTTTGAACAACAATAATATGGATGATAATGACAGACCATAAACCATAGTGGCAGTGGCTTCAGCTGTTGCCGAGCATCGTCTTTTAACAGTTCTAGAAGAATACACAATTCTGAATACAGCAACAAACCAAACTGAGAATCAATCAATTATTACTTTATAATTCTACGATAAAGATATCTGAAATACTACAGTAAAAATATCATATTGGCTGACTTTAGGCTGCCCAACGTCTACTCTACAGTTTACAGTAATGAGCAACACTGCAAGAACATTTCATACCATAACAGTGGAACGGAAAACAAACCAGTGAAAATACCGGAAACAAAGGGATGACATCGCATGTTATCAATTACATTTGTGTCACAAGTGTCTCACAAAAATGCAAAACTGTAGAAAATATGAATTAATTGCTAATAGCAATACTTTGCTAATTTAATTAAATATTGAGAACACATACAGAATGAAGGAGTAATGAAGCAGCAGCAGTTTCATGAGTCCAGTTATGAGACAGTCCATCAAACTGTTGTCTGTCTCAAGTTTTTGTTTGTTCTCTCTTTGCCTGTAAACTCTGGGGAGTGTAGGTGTATAAATTAAACGGTGCACACATGCTGTTTTGTGTTGGAGAAAATTGCCTCCTAGCGTGTCTGGCATGGAAAAGGCTTAATCACCATCATAAGGGTGCCGAGATGTATTTTAAACATAACTCCACACTATTACAGCTATTACTGTAATGATATACAACCTCAACCGAGCGTTCAGGGATTCACAGATCCATTATAAATAAATAGAGCCAGGAACGATGAATTGTTTTCTCTTTTCCGAGCACATGAGGTAAAGTGAAAGATGCTAGGATCTAACGCTGATCTTCAAAACTAATTAACACACATATACAGTATAAGTATGAGGGGTCTTTCTCAGCTCAGGGTGGTATTGGCAGCTACAGTGAGCAGCGACTGAAAGGGAATTCTGATGATTCCATCATTTAACACACACATGGAAATTGTATGTTACGCTTATTTTTTTAAGCAATGGCGGCCCTCAGAAACATTTTGTGCGGCCCCTTAACAGGATATGAAATGCATGCATAATATTTGAATCATCTGCGTTCCATTTCAACTTTCAACAGCTGACATTTAGTGCACTACTCAGCTACTGCGTCGAACAGCGCACATTTAACAAGCGTCTATCCGTTTAGGAACGATTGACATATAGAAAGCTACTTATTGCATAGCAACTAGTGGCACCTAGCAATTGTTGCATGAATCACATTCTGTCATCAACGACAATTTGGCAGTTTAATGTGGAAGTGAGATGGAAAAGCCACCACAGGAAAAAAGAAGATTTCCGGAAAAATGTATACATTTTTTAGCTGCTGGGAACACTTTCTGTAATCTTAAAGTTTAATAAATAAATGATTGGTTTTGGAAGTATTTTGTTTTATTGGGTGCATTAGTCTGCTAGCTCCCTAAACTGGCCCATAATGAGATGAGGAGAGTGCCTGTAAACCATTTGAGCTCATGACGGAACTGCTCTTTGTTTTATATTTTGTGTCCGTGTTATTTATTATCCACAAGTTTGTTACCGAACAAAATCAGACAGAAACAAACCGCAATACATCTTTTTTGAGAAGAATTTCAACAACTAGCACAAACTAGCGTTAAGCGCATTAAAATCATGGCACGATGACGGTATGACACGAGCAGAAGTAATTAATCATGTTTGGTTATAATACTTGAATCCAAGCTGTAACTGAACAGCTAATAGTTACATTTGCTGCGCAATGTAATGTGGCAGCAGTAGTTAGCAGCAGTAGTGCAGTGAGGGGTAGAAATGGCGGCAATATTATCTGCCAGTACATCCTACAGTACAACAGTAAGCAGCAGTTTATATTCTACTAAAAGTAATGGAAAACGTTGTACCCACCTTAGTAGTAATGCAGCAAGTGTATGGGACACCGCATGACGATGGACCGGGTGCAGAACAGTTGTGGTACATGTTGACCGACCAGTCTGTATACTCTTGACCTCCGCAACACTCAAACTGCCACAGACAAGAAAGATAGCAGAGTAGAGACAAGGGCCGAAATTGGAAGGAGGAGGAAAGACAAAAAGCAAGAGTTTAAGAGAGTGATGGGAGATGATATAAGGGGAATAGGAGATAAAGAGTGGAGACATAGATAAGGGAGAGATAAAAAAAGAAAGCAAGTAAACAACTTCATAAACAACATTTTTTCTGATGTTAGTAATGCCAGTAACATTTTGGGAGGAAATGAGCCATAATTAACAACAATTTGCATGTAATTATGAGTCCGTTTCATAAGTGCATGCTTCTCTCCATCTCCCAACTTTGCCACAATCAGTGTGGTTGGTCAGCTGGTGGTAGGGCTGGGCGATAGGGGTAAAATCAATATGATACTACAGTAAAGAAAAATATTATATTATAATATTAAGATAACTTTTTTTCTGATATATATATATACACAGTGTGTACGGAAAGTATTCAGACCCCTTTAAATTTTTCACTCTTTGTTTCATTGCAGCCATTTGCTAAAATCAAAAAAGTTCATTTTATTTCTCATTAATGTACACTCAGCACCCCATCTTGACAGAAAAAACAGAAATGTAGAAATTTTTGCAAATTTATTAAAAAAGAAAAACTGAAATATCACATGGTCATAAGTATTCAGACCCTTTGCTCAGTATTGAGTAGAAGCACCCTTTTGAGCTAGTACAGCCATGAGTCTTCTTGGGAATGATGCAACAAGTTTTTCACACCTGGATTTGGGGATCCTCTGTCATTCTTCCTTGCAGATCCTCTCCAGTTCCGTCAGGTTGGATGGTGAACGTTGGTGGACAGCCATTTTCAGGTCTCTCCAGAGATGCTCAATTGGGTTTAGGTCAGGGCTCTGGCTGGGCCAGTCAAGAATGGTCACAGAGTTGTTCCGAAGCCACTCCTTTGTTATTTTAGCTGTGTGCTTAGGGTTATTGTCTTGTTGGAAGGTGAACCTTCGGCCCAGTCTGAGGTCTAGAGCACTCTGGAAGAGGTTTTCTTCCAGGATATCTCTGTACTTGGCCACATTCATCTTTCCTTCAATTGCAACCAGTCGTCCTGTCCCTGCAGCTGAAAAACACCCCCATAGCATGATGCTGCCACCACCATGTTTCACTGTTGGGATTGTATTGGGCAGGTGATGAGCAGTGCCTGGTTTTCTCCACACATACCGCTTAGAATTAACGCTAAAAAGTTCAATCTTGGTCTCATCAGACCAGAGCATCTTATTTCTCATAGTCTGTGCGGGCTGTGCGGGCTATGCGGGCTTTCATACGTCTTGCACTGAGGAGAGGCTTCCGTCCGGCCACTCTGCCATAAAGCCCCGACTGGTGGAGGGCTGCAGTGATAGTTGACTTTGTGGAACTTTCTCCCATCTCCCTACTGCATCTCTGGAGCTCAGCCACAGTGATCTTTGGGTTCTTCTTTACCTCTCTCACCAAGGCTCTTCTTCCACGATGGCTCAGTTTGGCTGGACGGCCAGGTCTAGGAAGAGTTCTGGTCGTCCCAAACTTCTTCCATTTAAGGATTATGGAGGCCACTGTGCTCTTAGGAACCTTGAGTGCTGCAGAAATTCTTTTGTAACCTTGGCCAGATCTGTGCCTTGCCACAATTCTGTCTCTGAGCTCCTTGGGCAGTTCCTTCAACCTCATGATTCTCATTTGCTCTGACATGCACTGGGAGCTGTAAGGTCTTATATAGACAGGTGTGCGCCTTTCCTAATCAAGTCCAATCAGTTTAATTAAACACAGCTGGACTCCAATGAAGGAGTAGAACCATCTCAAGGAGGATCAGAAGAAATGGACAGCATGTGAGTTAAATATGAGTGTCACAGCAAAGGGTCTGAATACTTATGACCATGTGATATTTCAGTTTTTCTTTTTTAATAAATTTGCAAAAATTTCTACATTCGTTTTTTTTCTGTCAAGATGGGGTGCGGAGTGTACATTAATGAGAAATAAAATGAACTTTTTTGTTTTTAGCAAATGGCTGCAATGAAACAAAGAGTGAAAAATTTAAAGGGGTCTGAATACTTTCCGTACCCACTGTATATCTCAATATGGGAAATCAATCACAAACAACACTTAGAACTTTGACTCATGAATTTGGACAACATAAACAAATGTATTTTTATCCAGATTACATATAAACAAATCATGGCTGTTGCAACGCAAGAACCTAAAGCTCTATTCGTCCTCTCACTCACATTAGAAATCATCACCATTAATTAAAATCCAAATGTATACATTTACAGCAGCCTCAAAGACTGAACCGTTTGCTCCTGAATCTATAACACTTACAGCCAAAATCGACAAAATGATACAAACCAATTGTTTTGTATTGCCCTCTATTTCAGCCATTATTAACAAACCCTGAAGAAAACAATATATTATCACTTAACAGGGGAAATATACAAGCTTTGATAAGATATCTGGAGCACATTAATAATTATTGGTTTTGGCTGAGAGCTTTTGAGTCCGATTGATTAAAGCTGCTTCAAACATCTTCCTTATCAGTTTTACATGGTTTGAAGGCTGTTTAGGCAACCACGCTGCAGGGCATCCACAAGGATGTTAATGTTAATTTAATAACCATCAAAATATAACCTAAATAACCTTCTCATAGCAGCAGAAGAACAGGTGTAACAAATAGAGAAAAGTCTATTTATATTATAGATATATGACCGAATGTGGGATGACTAAATGCTTTTCAAATTGTAATAAAATAATTGACTGCCCCAGTTGTTTGCACACAAAATAGATTACACCAAATCCTGTAATGCCTCCATTCAGTCATTTCTATCTAATTTATGTTTTCACCTGGTAGCTGTGGCTGCACAGCTGCCCTCAGAGAGTTAACGCTCGCAGAAATACCTGAAAACCACACCATTGGCTCTGCTTTGTAGTCAGTGAGACAGATATTGTATTTGGGAATCAGAAAGACAGTAAGAGAGGGAGAAAATAGGACAAAAGGTCAGACAGTAAGAGGACGAGACAAGAGATGAAGAGAGAGGATGAATAAATGAATACATATGAAGCTGCTCTTTGCCAGGCCGTGTGATCAGTATGCTGACATGACGCCAGTGTGCCGGGAAGTTACTCCCTCTTCTCGTTGGCGTGACTCCACAGAGCGCCGTTTATCCAGCGCCGGGTCAGGACCCGAAAGAGGGTCACAGGAAGGCAAAGCAATTGTGATGCGATTAATGTCTGCAAGTGTCGGGTATAAGTCCAAAAACATTAGCCTACAACATTACAACTGACTTACGAGTTCAGTAGGTGCCACTGTACCATAAACACAATCCAACAGTAAATCCTATCTTTGGGAAAATTGATCAGGAGGTTTTGTATCCTCACGAGACAAACCCAAGAGAGGGAAGAGACTATAGAGACTCGTCACTTTCAGATTCATGACTACATCACTCACCAATTTGTTTACTGCAGTTATTGTAAAATACAACATTCATTATTCATCTCCGTCTCAATCAAATACTCATTCTGTTCAATCCCAATCTGGTGTCACGGATGAACCTCTCAACCATTACATCTTTTTAAAATGTTTCCATTTTCCGATAGTTTTCTATTTCTATTAGTCTTTTTCACTGTTGGATGACAACAATTCTCCAGAGGTCAATTACTTGAGAGTCAGTTGTGTCTGAAGGAGTGACTGATTTTAGAGCCAACTGCCGAACTGACTGATGAGCGGCTGTTCACTGGCTGACTGAGCGTCTAACTGGGTGGCTAATTGAACAGCGGACTGCTCAAAGTGTGTGTCGCAAAGACTGAAGTCTCATCATGTGCTCCCTGCATTCAATACTATTTAATTAGTACTATTATGGCATCCATGCAGAAACGTTGTGACAGATCTTCCATGCCCGATATAGTTAGCATTTAAAAAAAAAAAGTTTTTGCCAAACTTCTCCTTTACCAACTTTCTACATCCAATGTTTTTTAAAGGTGAAACACATTAGAGGGCTGAATAACAGAATCTTGACTTCTTCCTTCTGAGATTTCTGTGTTTTTCTTTTCTAAAACAGATTAAGTAGCTGACTATTTTCCTTCAAAATCCATTCGGGCCAAAAAACAAACCAAAGCAAAAAGTTATTGAAGTCATAGTGTCTGAACTGAAATAGGGATATTTTATGAAACCTCAACCACTATTACCAGTTCAGACATTTACACTCTTCATATCGGGTTATTACCAATTACTGCCCAATTAGTTTTAATAAGCCATTATCCCCTGATGAAACCTGTGTGAAAGGTTACAGCAGGTTTACCACTCACACTCTCTCACACACACACACACACACACACACACACACACACACACACACACACACACACACACACACACACACACACACACACACACACACACACACACAATGAATCTGCATGCAATTTGACATTCAATAAGGTTTTCAATAAGAGAGACAAATATAGCATATATGCACTCTTGCCTGCATGGTTCTCAGTTGACACTAAACTCCACTAAAGCCTTCTAATGGTTTTCAGAAATGTAGTATTTAATCAAACATCTGACTATTTCGTCAACCAAGTACAAAACGCATGCAACAAACATAACCATCACACAAGGAACGCTAACTCAGATCACTTGATACCTCCAATCCCAAGAACAAACCTCCTCAAACGCACAGTTATTAATAGTAGCTTGGAACTGACTACCTCCTCATATAACTTGTACAGTTAAACTGTCATTTAAAAAACAATTAAAGGCTCACCTAAGGCCACTGACCATATGACTAGAACTCCATTGCCTTTGTAGACTCCTGATCCTTTCTTTGAAGAGGTTATGGATGCATAATGTTAATGATCGGTGCCGATACTATACATCTTAGTCTCTGACTGTACTTTGCATCTGATTGTACTATTATAACCGTTTATTTTGCCTCATATATTGTATGCATTATGATTTGTCCTTTCTGTGGACCCCAGAAAGATTAGCGACCGCCAAGGCGTCAGCTAACGGGATCCAGTTAATAAACATTCATATCATGATTAAACAGATGGCATTGTGTTGCTTTAGAAACAAATTAAAGTGTGTTGGACTCCATACCCACTACTGACCTTCCTTTTGTTAGCAAAATACTTGATAGTCATGGAAACGTAGAGAAATAATTAGATAACTATCTAAATGCACAGTGAGGTGTCAGTCGAGTTACGGAGCTCAACATAGCACTGAAACAGCCCTCAGAGTAATCAATGTCATTAAGATCAACACTGACGTAAAACAAATCAAATCTTAGCGTCTCTCCAGAAAATAAATGGCTTTTTGTTCAAACAACCACACAGCGCTGAGGAAACAAAGTCAATGTTTCTCCAAATGACTGGATGGCCTTGTGCTTTTCACTGCTGCAAGACGTCTTGATATAAACCTCAAAATCCTGATGCGATGACTGTGACAACACTGAACGCTGTGACTGCGGATAAAAAAATGATAAAACATTTGAGCTGGGTGGCGTTTATGTGTGTGTGTGTGTGTGTATATGTGTGTGTGTGTGTGTGTGTGTGGGGG